CCATTACAATAATATATTTAGTGCATCACATGACTTCTGTAGTAAGTTCGTTCTAATTAGTCAATATTAGCCGGGTAATTGATAGGTCCAAGATTTACTATCTCACAATATCATTAATATTATTAAAATCTCTTTCATCAAAAAAATTATTAGTAATTGATGAATCAAATATATTATTCCTTAATTCATTAATAGTCAACTCTTTACCATAATATTTTAATTCTTTATCCAAGTTAGAAATATAATATGAACGAATTTTACACATTGCTTCAACTTTGTAAATACTTAATTTGGTTCAATAATCTCCATAAATCCACTTTAATGTAGAGAAGTTACGTTCACAAACTGCTTGAGATGGAGATATTGCATAAAGATGTAAGGCTAATTCTTGCAATTGGTCATTGTTTTTATCTGTATTAATACTTAACCACCACATAGTTGGATTTTCCTTTTCTTTATTATAGGACAAATGATATGGTGGAGACTGTCTTTTCCAAGCACGCATCTATGTCAATAATTGTATACACGAATGTTCATCATAACCTTCCACAAACTTGCTGCTGCTTCATATATCTTGTCTAATACATCATTTTTTAAGCCCTTGCCTAAAAAAATAAACAAGTTATTTTCAATTACATAAAAAGTATATATATACATATATATTTATACAAAAAAAATGCAGACAATGATATAAGGATGAAGCCAATATGAAAGAATATAATAATAATTAGTGAATTCATTAAACCTTCTATTAAATTTCACAGTGATTTCTTGTTTCCATGGATTCATACCATCTATTTGGTTTATGGCAGCAGCAAGCTTAACTAAGCCAATGAAACAATCAGCTAGATTAGCAGATCTTGCTTCTAAAATATTTGTTAATTCTTTTATTGGTTTTAAAATGGAAAAAATTTGTCAACACTTCATATAAAAATCCTCATTTTGTAAATAATTGAACACATTATCATTTGAAATAACAGAAGGATAATTATCAAGAATCTATAAAACAACAATAATTAATATAAGAATTTAACAATAATATAAATTCCAGAATTATCATTAAAATCCTTACCCAATCAAAAACAGGTTTTGATCTTATTATTGAATCCACTGTCATGCAAAAAGATCCCCATCTAGTTTTCGTATAAGATTTAATTTCACCACCTTTGATTTTCATTGCCTTTAACTGTTCTTGATAACAACAATATAATAATAACCCTTAATAAATATATAACTTACATAAAATAGTCTTTGACTGTAAGTAACTA